CTCCGGTGCTGCTGAGACAGGAAACATGGCTGCTCCTACCTCCTTCCCAACAAACAAGTTCGGTCTCTTCTTGTGGGGCCCCCCTGATCCTCACTTGTACCGAGCGAGGAAGGGGGGCTTGCTCTCAAGAAGGAAAGCAAGTGACAGAGGTATGGTGCACCTCCAACATGAGGGACAGACATGCAACAGCCAAAGCGTTACCGATTCTTGCAACCAAAGGCTATACCCTCGCCAAGACACAGCCTTCCACAGGGCCAAGTAAGCGGTAAAAGCAGAAGATTAATTGGACTCACCTGCAGATAACAGTGGTGAGAGGAGGAGCCCTGAAAAACACTCAGCTTTACTGCAAGTAGGCAGTTACCCCCATTCTCCACACCAGGCAGCCACCTGCGTCTGCCCCATCCACCTGGCTGACCTGCAGCCTGTGCCTGCCCTGGTTACCCACAGGCAGTAGGAGATAGGCAGGGTGGCTTCCCAGGTCCCACCTCTACCAGGCAGGGCCTCTGCTGCTCTTAGGTCACCCCCAGGCAGGTGGCTGGCAGCAGAGGGCAGGAAGGAGTGACAGCTTACCTTTCCAGGCTCTTCTGATGGTTCTCCAGCCAGAGCCGAGCTGCCTGTGCTCTCGCCGCTTCCGTAATCCCAGGCACACCCAGACACCCAGCTGGAGGATAACGTGGCAAAGCTAATAGAACATCATTTTCCCCAAAAATTCCTGGTCTAAATATGGCATCACCAGAGCATGAACACAGATTTTGGAGAGAAGCAACTTCAGGATGAGCAAAAGCTTTTGCTTGAAGAAACCAGGAAATATTCCCTATCACTTTTCATAAAACCAGAGCCATGCAAGTAACTAAGATGTTAACGCAACAAAGATTTTCATTTGCCAGATTAAATTCTGCTCTTTTTTGCCTTTTTTTTTTTTTTTTTCTCTCCCTGAAAGTGAGCTACATCTTTGTAATAAGTCATCATTTTTCTATGCATGGCCAGAAAAGAATCTGACCTGGGCAAGCTGTTTAACTCGCTGCTCATCAAACACTGGCAAAGTCTGGCTCTCAACTGTTTGAACAGTGGAACAGTCTTTTTACAGCCAGCCTTATTAAAGCACAGGATTTTATTAGCTGTTTTGTGGTAATAAGGTGAAGGACAATGTTGTGGAATGCTCCTTCAGGAGATTTGGGATCTTGTATACTTCAGGGTTTACTTTCCTCTTTTGGACTAGGATGCTTGGCAACCAACTAATACGATCGCTTCATTGTAATATTCTTTTCCTTAAAGCCACCTTTGACAACCAATTTTTCACCCAGGTAGAGGAAAATAATTGCTTGTAGAACTATAAGAGAAATATACTATTGCCCAGTTGTTCTCAGGTTTTGATTTTTTTATTTTTTTTTAAACCACTGCAGAGTTTCAGGTACTTGGAAAAAGTCCAGATAGAGGGTGAAAAAACTATTTTGGCCACACACATATACAGCAAAGCTGTATATTCAAAACATCGAAGCTAATGTGGTTTTTCTCTTTGGCAAATTTCTTTAAAGTTCTGGTAATTTTCTCACAACAACATTTTTAACAGATTGTAAATGTCCCCTTTTCCTGAAAACCACTTTTGGGGCACATAAAGTTTCAATTAGCATTTGAGAATACCTGCCAGGAAGTTTTCATGAACATTTAAACAAATACGTCTGCATTATTTTGCAAAAGAACAAAGTATTCTGACAAATTTCATCAATTCCCCATCATCTTTTGTTTCATAACTCTAATGGGTAACAAAGAAAACCAAAGCTTCCAAATCATTGACGAGCTTTAATGAGAACTGTGTTACTTTGGACTGTTGATGCCAAAATAAAGATTGAGACACAAGTTTTTGTATTGGGAACCGACTGTGAAAGGCTTTTGGGGAATGAATGTTACACATCTCTGAAGCCTGCTGGCTAACACCTTTACAGTCACCACCAGAAAATCTAGTGATGTTTTACTCAGAAAAGTTCCTTTTTCCAATTACAGTATTTTCTGTGTCAGCAGTACTCAAGTGTTTTGGAGGAAAAATGAAAGCATGTATTTATATAATCCAGTATCATGATTTCGTATAATACAGAATAGCTCACACCAAGTGGAATGAAATGCATTAGTCAAATATGTATATGACGGCTCTATCAGAACTACTGCTAGCAGAGGCAGCGAACCTTTGAATGCTCTCCAGGCTTGAGACTACCAGGTATTAAAATGTTGCAGGTTGCAGCAGATTCTCACATGGACAGGAACTTTGGATACTTACTCAAATGCAGATGCGGCACCTCTGTGCTCTGTTGGGGAGGAAAGACAGAGCATTCCCCAAACTGGTCAGGCTCACTGCCCAGTTTGCCTCTTTAAATAAGGCTCCGTTGCCCAAGCCTGCAGTTTTGGAGGTTCAGCTTTGAAAATAAATTCAGAAGCAAATCTTAATTTCACAGTAAACAAACAATTCCAAGGAGCTTTTTTTTTTTTTTTAAAAAAAAAACCCAAACCAACAAAACCCACCAAATACTCACTTTACTTTTCTCCAGACTCCCAATCCAAGAGGAATCTTAGCACACACATGGTTACTTTAAAGAGAAAACTAACCTCGTACAGCACGCAAGGAAGCAGATGCACTGTTGCGTTGGAGGAATTTTGTCCTGAGACTTTCCCAGATCTCCAGCCGGTGCAGCTAAGCGTGGACCTACGTTACATTTCAAAGATAAGCCAAAAATCTTCCAGCACCCCTTCCACAAACTATCATCTTGGAACAAGAGATGCTTTGGGATACCGCACCAGTGACAGTTACTAATTGAACTAGATCAACCTGCACTCCCACTACAGGCAACCCAACTCTGACAATTGCGCTTGAGCTAGAAGATTAAGGTAGAACCTTCTATGCTTGCTCTTAATTTTTTTCTTTTTAATTGAAGCAGCATCTCATGTCCGTAAAACCTACCATGAGCATGTATTTTCCAAGATAAACTAAACAGAAGAACGGTTTATTGCAACTATTGTTGCTCTGTTGCAACTGACAGGAGCCAGACCACAGAAGCCTCATGCTATACCATTTGTAACGAGGTCCCTGGAGCCATTATTGGTTTATTAATCTCTTTAGCCAGCTAATTGTAGAAGCATATCCTACAACTTGTTAAGCAACAAATTGAGATTTTGCTCTTTTTCATGCTCTGTACTCATCCCTTTATAGCAATCCATATAGAAGCCTATTACTGAAAGAACTGCTTCTCCAGCCCCTAGAAATGGCCTCAGCTGATAACAAGATGGGACTCAATTCCTCATTAACAGAGCCAGTTAAGTTTTGCTCCTCAGGGAAGGTTCATAAATTCTTTGCACCTGCAGTGCACTTAATACTTGCCTGTGCTGGGCTCACAGTAGTCAGTGGATGATGCTAAATCCAGAATTACATTTTTGAGACCCCGCTTAGATGCAGTTAAGCATATTACTGGCTCTGGGGTAACTCCTCCCTCCCCCTTTTGGATTCACATGTAATAGGTATGATTACAGTATTATCAATACATTGACGGGTTTCCCTTTAGCTATTGCTGTGTGGAAGCAGTAGCTGGCTTCCTTTTCCCCTACGCAAATTATGATGCTTCACATGGATGCCGCAGATGGTATAGACCAAGTCAAGTCATAACCCAAAAACATCAATGCTTTTAACATTCAGAAAGGTCCCAACATACAGAAATGTATACAACTAATGTCCTAAATTCCCTTGTTGTTTGGTTGGTTGGTTGTCTTTTTAAAGAAAAAAAAGAAGGGAGCATTGCTACGGCTGGGCAGCATCCTTTGGGAAAACAAACTTAACTGCTGAGAGGACAGCAGTGCACTATTTCTTTTTAGTCCTTTTGGAAAACTAAGGAGATCCATGGAAGCTCCTCACATGGGAAACCACAGCATGACTTCCTACTAAGTCCTCCCTTTACAAAGTTTTTGAACACCACCTTCCTTAGTTCAGGGAACCAGTATCACAGTATCAAGTCATAGGAAACAAAGACAACCTGGAGAACTTTCACCAACCTCTGAAAGGTTCACAAGAATGGCATGTGTATGCTTCTGAGCACAAAAAAAAAAAAAAAAAAAAAAAGAATTACAGACTAGGACATGGATTATTCTTCATGTAATTCATGCTGGGAGAAACACACAGAGAAAGAAACCAAGCAGGCAAAGAGGCAACAGCAGTGCAGCACGCCTGAAACTTTAATCTTTGCTTTTAAAGAGTACAGAGTTGAAAGGGACACTTTCTTCTCCTTCCCACCTTCCTATTCTCCATCCCATCGCTTCCTAAGTTCTCCCTGAAAGGAAATATTTCTTTGTTGATTAGTTTGACTTCCCTTCAAGTGAGGCACACCCGTTAATCTCCAAAAGTAGGCCCCAATTCAGTAAAACACTTGCACATGCACTTCACTTTAGTCCACTCCCATTCATGACAACATTTAAGTGTACGTACTTGAATGCTGTTTTGAATAGGGACGTTTTTACTTAACCAAAGATGGGGGGGGTGTGTATATTTGTGTGGTCTTAACAGGGGAGGGGAAGGAGGGAGGACATACAACATTCCCAACATCTTGTTCCCAATTTAAAAGTAATTTTAGCAGCAGTCAGTGACTGACACATTGGTAAAATCTTAAGCAGCAGCTTAATCACAGAAGTGTCTAGCAGTAAGAAATCCAGTGACATTTAAAAAAGGGCAGCTCTGAAATCACTGCTGAATGCCAGTTAAAGCAGCTTCACGAGGTCAGTCAGACTTCTAAGTTTACACACCCTCTGCTCCTAAGTCCGTTAAGCAAACACGCTTCTTTAATTACAATTATATAAAGGGAGAGACTGGCAAGACAATAAAAAAAAATTATCAAGAATGGGAAAGCCTACAGAGTTCAGAAAACAGGATTCTGGAAAATTAGTGCTTGTATTTTATTTTATATTGTTGGCTTTCACTTTTTATCCCTTTGAAATACATTTAGTTTTAAATTTATAAAGATCATAAGCTAATAAATTGATATGTGCTTTAAACAGACATAATAAAAATTCAGACATTACACCACAGGACCCATCGTTTAAATATCCCAAAAACAGAACAGTTAAAGTGATGCTGGCTAATGTGAGGATAAAATGCCTAGATAAAAGATGTCGTGGCTTTAAGGAAAAGTGTGGATTAGAGGAGAATTGAGAGTGAAGCAGGTGATGCTTTAGTCTGAATCTGAACTGTCTTGCTTGTCGGTATGGTACTGGCTGACTGCTTCTTCCAAAGGAGCCATTGTGCCATCCGGCCGCACTCCCATTGGTTTTATAAGCTCATCTCTGTAAGAGATTTAAAAAAAGAATATATATTAGCATATGCACACATATCAATTCACATGTGTATAATACAGTCACATACAGTATATGCTTTAGTACATAATGAGCCTTTAAAAGGAAGTTATTTCTGCTAAAGCCCTCCGTTTTGAAGAAAGAACAAAAAACCTTCCAAAATAGGTGGGAGGGGAAGAGCAGGACAGATAAAGACTTCATTCATGTAGGCCAAACCTACTTCGCCAATTAAAGACACCATGAAAAGTCAGTGCCTAATAGCCTCAAGACAAGGAGCAGGTTCACTGTTTTAGATACACAAACTAGCTTTTCTTCCAAGAGTTCTCTGACAGCCATTTCTTCCTAAAATTTCACCGGCCATTCTGGCCAATATATGCCCAGGCAATTAAAACAATGATTTGATCCATATTCATCTTATTGAAGGAAATAAATCAGTTATGAGAACAGACTCTGCCTACACCACTACTAGGGGTGCGTAAGTACTTGTTGATTCATTTAAAAAAAAGCTGACTGATTCTAATACTATTGCTTTTGTTTGTGGCAGTTTAATTACAGGATTGACAGCCATTTTAATCTCTTCAAAGCTCCAAAGGCCTCTCAGCAGCTAATCCAATTATATCTACTCCACAAGCTACAGCCTCATCTAAGAGATGATTAATTATTGATTAAGCCAATCAAAAAGTATTAGCAAAGATTTATTTAATCCTTACTTTTTATCACCTCATTTATATGTGGATTATGGCAAAAGCTGTAAGGGCAAAGATAACATTTTGATTTTCTGCTGGAAAAAAAAATAATGGAGAATACCTCTAAATATTCAGGAGTCACCTTAAATAAAGGAGCGGAGGCTTGATGTCAATTTATCCCTTGCTTGAAAGGCAGCCCAGTAAAAGTGCTGGTTTAACACACATATACCACCCTCCCGAGCCACAGACAATAAAACTCCGTCACTCAATGGGGAAGTGAAGGCATGTCACCAGCTCTCTGCCCGGTTTGTGCTACTACCTTGGCTGGAAAAATGGACAAAACTTGCTTGTACACAGCTGGCAATGTAACCTTTACACAACCATAGGAACAGCAAGAAAGGCAACATATGGATTACCTGGCACGTGTATGCTAGGTATTGTAGAGTCAAGCAGCAGTTAAATTAAGTCTCCAAGAGTCTCTTTTGCTCAGGAAGAGCAGAGACTGGCAAGAGAAATGCAGCTATTTGTGCAGATGTAGCAATCAGATACTACGGTGATAAGCTCACAAATCCCACTGCCTGCAGCATTTCAAAACATGAGAAACTGGACCCGGACAAGCTGCTGTGGTTCGGCTAAACAGGCGTGGGTGGGAAGCTGGGGGCCAGGCAAGGAGGTTTGCAATGACTATACTCAAAGAGCCCAGGCCAGACTCCGCCTCTGTGTGTGTGTGTAAGAGTAGGATCGATCTTTAAATAGACTGGAGATAGCCTGGCATGCTTGAGGACTGACAGCAAGTCCTCCTCCTTCAGGCAACGTGGTCTATAGTAAGCAGATTCGGCCCAAATGAGAGCACTCGTAAGTTTTCAAGTATCTGCTGGAGATGTGTTCAAGAAGAGATCAAAAGAATACTCAAGATTAGAATTGCCAGGGCTCAAAAAATGAAGACTGCAGATCTAGTGTCCAAACAGGACCAGAACCCTCCCTGCCTGCTGTTGGGGTCCCCCAAAGGCAAAGCAAAAGCGCTTCCGAGTTGCATCTAATAGCAAAGACTTTTCACAGGAAAAAACCCTACACATCTAAGGCCTTTTTGGCTTTTAAACTTTACACACCATTTAAACTTTTAAACTTTACAAAACAAGCGTCCTTTGAAATCTGTAATCAGTCTTGCAACAATTCTTCAGTGCCACTTACTCAAGTGTGATCTAATACACTTATTTTCAGAGAATAACCTGAAGAGTAAGTCCTTGCTCATATTTTAAGTCCATGCTTTTAAGTCCTAAAAGTAAAAGCATAGCCACAAAGAAAGATATCACCTTTGCTTGCCCTCTAAGATGAGAGAATCCTAGATTTTTGTTTTAAAAACCATGATACATACCCTTAGGTTGCAACATTTAGCATTGCAGCCAGAAGTCATAAAATCACATAATTTACCAGTCATTTATAATCTATTATTGGTAATAAACAAATAACAATGGCTAGTAAAGGATAAAGAAACAGTTCAAGAAAAAGGAGAGAGAAACACAGGAAAACAAGGTTTCAAGGTCCCCTTATGAGACCCTTATGAGAGGGGACCTCCCTCTCCTCACATAAGGATATTTATCAGATCTATTTAAAGATATTGTCAACAAATCCTATCTCATAAGTTGTCAATTTTAAAGAAATAACTGTCTCTACAACTTTCCATTCATGCTTCCCGTTTACACTGTTACACACACTCCAGAACTTGATAGAAACTTTTTCTCTCCTGATGAGTCACCTGCGAAGACACTGGACACCAAATGCAATGGCCAAGACGCATCCGCATGCACAAGCCTTGGTCTGTGGTCTTTGTGGGGGTCTTTTGGGGGTAAATGCACCGAGTTTTGCATGACAATGTAATGTAGAAGTCTGAGGCACTGACATGCATTTCCATCTTCCGTGACGCCCCAAAGCCTGTTTCTCAGCTCACTGTACTCATTTCTAAGTGCCTCATTATGATCTGTGCTGTAGCGCATTTGAAGTTCATTCCCAGTGCACTTCCTCCTCTCCAGGCTTTAACCATGAGCTAAGGCTGATCTCGCATTTCATAGAATGTTTATCAATTACCTTTCTGTTCTGCAGGAGCCTCCTGCTTTGCAAGTCCTTGAATAGGATGATGGTTGTTACAAGTTTGCTGTCCTTTCTCTGTATTAGGAGGCTGAACTCCATACATCCTTCCTCAGACAAATGCTACCCAGTAAAACTCAACTGTGTGAAGACAGAAATATTCTAGGTCACCAAAAGAAGAGGTAGCAGGAGAAGCAGGGATCAGCCTGTTTTTTTTCCTAACCATAATCTAGTCCTAAAATGGTGTCAAACATGGCATCCTTTCACCGCTGAAGACTTGACTGCAAGCTCTGAACACAACACAAGCTTACTTCTGTTTTCCAAAGGGGAAAAATACACAGGGAGACGAACAGATGAAAAGATCTGGGCTGCCTACAAAGCTAGCTTCGGAAGTTTGGAACAACTACCTGCTAAATAACAAAATTTTGGGTAGGATTGCAAGAAGCATCACTCAGCTGACTCCAGTACTACACAACAGCCCACAGCGCTGATCCTTATCCAGTATGAACAGTCTCAGCTCTGCCAGCCTCAGCAGTTTGCCAGTTTGGCACTGGCTGCTTAGAGACCTCAACTGAGCTGTGACAATTTCAGCTAGCCGAGGACGTGCTTACTGTTTAAGGTGAAATACAAGGTGGCAAGGGAAGCACCAGAAACTGGCACTCATAGCCTCAGAAGAGAGTTTGTTACCCAGAAACTGGGTATTTACGGTCCATCTATAGCGCAGAAGAGAGATCGCTTCAGCCCAGTAGGTGGCAGTAGGAATACTTCTGTATCCATGAAGATATATATACAAGTACACAATGTGCGTATTTATACATATTTGAACATCCTATGTGACCTCCCATATACTCAAATACACCTTCTTGCAACATTCATTTTTCTAATGCAAACAAAGCATTCTATTCAAGTGTACTTAGAAACACACCATAATTAAACAGTTGGTAAAATGCATTCTCTTCTTCCACTTCCAGATCTCCCAAGAGTCCCTTCAAATATATCTATACAAGTTCTAGCTTCCTGCTTGCCATTTAGCTTGATAACGACTCGAAAATCATTCCCTTGTTTTGAAGGGTAACTCTTTCTTGTCTGCTCTATGTGCTACAGGGCGGTATTGACACATGGAATTAATGACGGGGTCTGCAAAGAAACAGCCATCATGTGAACACCAGTCTGCTCCTTTGATAAAATGGCATGTTAGGGACCTATTCACCTCCTTATAATTGAGTACTGCATAATAGTTCCGATCCTTTCATGTAACATTATTTTGTTCTATGATTAGAAAGAGGAGGGGAAAAAAAAAATATCTATGTAACATTGCCTTCTTCATTCATCCTCTGATTAATTTTGTGTTTTTAATGAGTATGGTTGCTTATTTAGACAGGTTCTCTTACATACTTGTTTTGTTGACTTCTGTTCAATGTGCAACAAAACCCAAGCTGTGATAATTGGAGACCATTTCATCAGCAAAAGGATTCTTGCTATTAATACAAGGTTGGCTTGGAAAAAGCATCCTGACATTTTAAATTAGTCAATTAATATACAGTTCTACCTACCATTTATAATAGAAAAAATGTTAGCATTTTTTCCAGACATTTTAATTAATACAGAGTATTTCCAATAATCTATCATATAAACAGACAGAATATCAAACAACACTGATTTAAGGTGGCTAACTCGATATTTTGCAAAAATGAAAGGTTGAGTTAAATCTTTTTGCAGATCCGGGGAGTTTTTCAAAGCTCAAAGATGTGCATCACATACAGAGGACACTGACTTACAGTCACCAAACAATCCTCAATGAATCAACAAGATAGTATCGACTCCTGCTGCAGACAAAGCCCACAGAGTTACTTTAGGGCCAAGTTCAGGCATCCAGCAAACTACCTAAGTAACTTCTGTATTTCCCAAGAGCTGCAGTAATCAAGATTTTTCCTTTTCATTTACACTTATAATTTATATATATTTGATGATTTTAAAAAGTAATTTAATCCAGCCAAATTTGAGCAAAATATTAATTTCTGTAAAAGCTTTTGTAGAACCCAAGACTATATTAAAATATTGGGACACGGGAAACGGGTTCACAAACAACATTCAGCTTTCCTCCACACATTCTGATAAAACAAAACTGAGTGATTAATTTTAATCTATCCTTGTTGATGGTCAATTACCCCATGAACAGGCCTAAACACGAACAACCTAACAGAATAGAAAAACTTTGGAAGTAAGACCTGAAATGACTTAAAGCATGGACCAGTTTTACATCACCTCAAAGCAGTGTGAATTCTTCAGTGCCAATGCTGAAAATAAAGAGAAACCTGGAGAGCAAAAATCCCCTGGCATTTTATGGAACAAGGGAGATAATGCCACTTTATTAATTATAGTTTCAGTAAACCTGTACGAAAGGTACAGTGTCAACAGTCAGAAGCCATTAATGAAGGCTGTAACTTTTCAGTGAAGTAGTACTGTTTTCTGAGTTCAACCCGTCATCAGGTAACTTTTCAAAAATGATACAGAGGCAGTCAAAGCCCAATCTCGAACACCCAAGTGACAGACTGGCCTGGTTATCCGCATCAGACAGGAAGGGAAACAAGTTTGTCAGTCCTTCAACTTCTTTTCTTCCATACCTTTCTCCAGTAAAAGCATGCTAGCTCTTTAAAGCTTAGCTTCCATTACTGGGACAATACAAGTGTAGTAAGCAAACCGGTTTCACTGTACATCACGCAAGTTCACTCTAAGGTCTTGTTCAAGTTACACAGCTAAAGTTACATACAGTCTTAAAAGATTAAAAGAAGGAGCTGTTGGTTGCCTGTCAAACTTCCTCCCCTCTTACAAGCAAAGCACTGCACCAAAGGGGAACTGCTCAGTTCATGGTATATGTCCCCTCCTACAGTGACAACAAAGACCAGCAGAAGTAGGAAACCTGCCACCAGCAGTCTGCCTCAAAGCAATATTCAAAACTCGGAATCAACTGAAGACTCCTATCAAAGCGAACTCCAGTTTAAATCTGCAGGTTGCAAACCAAGGGAAAAAAGTGCATTCCACTGGTAGCTTTAAGTCTCTGAAAGCTCCCAGCACTGAAGGGCTCAAGCTGGAAGCAGAAGCATTCAATTCCAAAACCATGGAGGGACTCCCACTACTTTCAGCACGTTACTAACTCTTTCTTCGTGTATACAAGACTGGCAGCTTCCCATTTTATTTAACATCTGCAAAACCCACAATTGCATTCAATGACATTCATTAAAAAAACATCCCACAGCCTCCCAAAACCAAGTCTTACTTTCTTTTTCCTTCCTGCCAGCATTGCCCGCCCCCTCCATTTTCGGTAAAACAAAAAAGGGTGGGAAGAACAGTCAAGTGATTTTATTCATGTTATCACAGCACCTAAAGGGGTCACATCAACAACACTGTCCCACAGTAATCACTATACTAAAAAACAAACAAACAAAAACCTTACAACAAAGAGAGTCCCAGCCCTGAAGAGTTTGCAGTCTAAGAAACTGCAGGTGGATGTAACTGACACAGAAAGCCCAAGGTGAAAGTAATGCCACTGGCCAAGAGGATAAGCAGCGACACAGGGCAGCAGCTGCTCGGTTATTGTCAGTTTGTAGCAGGCAACACAGCAGGTGCCTCCAATCCTCCACACTGAAAAGGCTCTTATGCTACAGTAACGCCATTTGGACTTTGTGTGTGTAACTGCTATAGCGATAGCAACTGACTTGTCTTCAGTCTTAGTTTATCTCCGGTCTCAATCTTCCTTTTAAAAACATTTTAGACCATTTAGGCATTTTATTGTGGTACCCCTAACACTCAGCATCTTAATTCTCTAGCTTACAAAGCAATCATTCCATTTTACGTAGTAGCTCAATTAAGATTACACGTGCATTGCATTTTCTTCTCTTTATGAAAAAGACTGTAACATAATACACTTGCTTTCCATGCAAATAATGTGAAAAAGTATCCAATTACTTCACTGACAGTCTCAGATCAGTTGTTCTGAGATCCTTCCCTGCTTTCTCTCCTGCTTACAATTCAGTCTCTGTCAGCTAATATAAAATCCAGATTCTCACGTATCTTTTGCTGTATTCCTCATCTTTAATAGAGATGTAAAAACACTTGGTTTGCTCAGTTTCTCTCAACAGATCTTGTTATTTGAATATCTACAGACTCTCACAAAACACAAACGCATTTCTAGCTGCTGAGTCTTCCCCGGCTTGAAGAATGATCCACTTAAACATTTACCCAAATTCCTACAGCTCTGTTCAATGGTAAATTAGTATTACATTAAGTGTTCCTCAAGAATGTAAAACTTTGTTTACGCAGAAAAACTACAAGCAATCACTCCAATACGGCTACAAGTATGGGGGAAGAAAAACCAGCCAATTCCGTGCATATTGAGTCAAAGAGGAAAAAAAAGTTATACCTAACAGCACAGGTCCGTTCCCTTTTTGTATGTAGAAAATTATAAAATAAAAATCAACTCACTGTATCAATAATGTACACCTTTATGTCACATTAAGTACCATTTACTTTTATGCCATCACCTCAATCATTTAAAACAAATTATAAAGGCTCATTTGTAATTCAGTCTGCACTTATTCTAATAAATCCACAATAATTCTTAATTGTAAATTCCATTTTAATCGCTCCATTATATAATTTATTGCTTCTGGTGACAACTATCTTCACACTGTGTTTATTCTTCATATAAGCAGCACACATAAGTAGTTATCATGAGATGCTGCTTATTGACTTGGGGAAAATGAGTACACTTTGCCTTGGGCTTGGATTGTGTCCTATACTTGAAAAGAAGAAATTATTTTCATTATTATCAGCCTATCCATTTAGGAGGCAGGTCCCCTCACCACCAGATCTTCCTGATTCTGTCCAATACTCTCCAAAATAGGTTTTCTCTGACGTCCTGTAACGTATCACTCTTTTCTTTGAAGTGCTAAACATTTTCCTCTGCAGTTAAAGTGGTCCTAATCCTGGAAAGAAGGTGATCACAGCACTATTTTGAAGCACCAGTCCTTCGTAAAGAGCTAGGATATGAGCTGCTTCCCTCAAAAGCAGCTATAATACAATACCTGGAAAGTTTATCAAACATGTTGACAAGCTTCATAGCTTCATATTCTTTTTGTTCTTCTGTCATTTCATCCATTGGATTGGGCATTGGTTCTTCTAAGTGACCAGTGATAAGGTTAATGCTGGAGGTGGAAAAACAATACAGTTTACATTTCTATAGAAATGCGTAAATTGTCTACCTTCTTGATAGGAGGAAGGAGGAACACACTAACAGAAACCACCAAGACTAAAACTGTCTCAACTGCACATGAAAGTTTTAACTTTAAATAGCCAACCTTCATATATATCTTTTTTGTAGCCTTTTCTCATGAATAGTGATATTATCTCCTTGATGATTCACTCTATTAATTTCTTGTTAGCTACTCAGAAATGCACAGTACACTAGCACTTGTTATGTTATAAACCATACACAAGCAGTTTGAAAGCAGGAGAAAAATGATGGTAATAATGACAACGTCATTAGTAATAATGACATAGGTGGGGAACAGAATGCCAGATACTTGTTTAAAACTAATTCTGTACAGGCTTAATTTTAAAAATATAGCCAGGTTCCAGTTACATTTTCTTGTTCGTGAAGAACCGCTGAATTAGTTCACTATTGCCCTCCCATGATGATTTTTGCTTAAACCAAATTAAGGTTACTTTACTTTGAGAATTTACAGTGCCAGTTTTATTTTCACTGTTAAAACAAGAGAACTGCAATTCAGAAATGGTAACAAAAACAGAGAAGTAGTTTTAAAGAAATGCTTTCAGGGCAAATTATCTTTTCAAGCAGTTTAATCACAAACATTTAACAGCAATACAGAAAATCAGATGTATAAATTAACTGACAGTTGTCTTGAATGTTTCATTTAAGTGTCAGCTTTTAATTAAATAGATGTTATAGTTTTACTCATATGCATGTAACTGGGTGTCAGGCTTTTGAAAGAAGAGCGGAGACAAAGAATCAAGAAAAAATAATCATGAAGTGCAGAAATAAAAAGAAACCTCCTGTTTCAGAGTTCCTTTCCTAGCATAGAAGCAATGTAATTCCTGTAACTTCTCATACGTTTAATCCCGTCTTTCATTTGTATTCCTTAATAAGAATCTTTCAATAAGGCACAACTCCCCGTCACAGACTCATGTCTAATTCAAGGAAAACAGAGTAAAGCGGAAAAACATCATGCTTCAGATGCCCACTATCAACAATTTCAGAACCTACTTAAAATGGAATCAAATCATATAGATGTAACATGACAAACTGAAACCTTTAACACCAAATCAATTACAATTAATAAAAATCAACAGACAGAGCTTCTCTATGATCATTGACCCCTTCAAACAAATGTGTTGGATTCCTGATGCATGACTTCTACGGAAGTTATTTACTCCTTCCATGTTTACCTACGTTACCTACTCGATTCTTTAGGAAAATTTTAGTACCAGGCAATCTGACTGACTGAAACTAGACCTGCTGGTTTGTTCCTTTTTTACAAAGTCTTGCATAAAACCTTAAGTCACATCTGATACCTTTATTTTCTCTGTTACAGAGATATGCCCCACAAACAATAGTTTGTAGTCTGGCAACTTCACGTGAGTTCCTGGAAAATCCGGGGCAAAAGCCATCCTTGCTAAGATTGTTGCTATATTTTTTTTTCTAAAATTTGCTCAAAAGTCTCTTTTCACACTTGAATTTTAAATAGTTATTCAGACTGAATTTAAATCATTTTCATAATGATTTTTTTTTTTTCCCCCTGGAGCCATCTGACTATATGATGGTCACTGTTAGAGGCTGTTTTCTCAATAATTAGACCATGAAATCAACAGGAGACAAGAGTTAATATAAGCACATGTAATTCCAAAACTGGCCTCTCTGGAAAATGTGAAACAAAAAAAATTATGTCAAAACATCTACATTGTAACAGGATATATAAACAAAACCATGATAAAACAATACTATACTTTGGCTTTGCAGATTTGTATTCTTCTGTATCTGTGTCTTCATCATCTGAGTACCAATGATCTCCTCTTCCTCCTGCTAACAAGCCCCTTGCTGCCAGCAATCCTGCCGCGTTACCGTAGCCTGTATATTTTAACAAGCTGTCAACTGCAAAGAGTGATACAGAAAATTACTCAGCTATAATCAGCCACAAAAAAAAACCCAGCATAGGGTTACAAGAATCGAGAGTTACAGCAAGAGGCAAATACACTAATTACAGCAGGACCTTACGTAGAAGGGAGAAGAAAAAGTAATTTTTACCTCTCTCTTTACAAAGAACAAAAAGAAATTCTCCTGCAATTTGCTTTACTCCAAGGTCAACATGTGTCATAAGGCGCACAAGCTTGTTTCTCACTGTTGTGCCAACTTCTGGACGATTTGATACATCTCTTAATGGAGGCAATACCTAGCAGCACAAATAAAGGAAAAACCATATAGAATGCATGGCAGTACCCATCCCATCCTTGCAGAAACAAACGCAGTCAACAGAACAAGAAAATACTATAACCTTTGCTCCTTCAAAAAAAAGAGTGCTTACATGCACTAGTAATGACTCTGGCTTCTTAAAATATTCAGGCCTTCTGGTCTACTCTTCTGCCCAGGATGGCACTCAGTCCCAAATGTGGACTTTTTAAAAAAAAGACAACTATTAGGAGTTCAAGAACACAAATGGGTGTCACAAAATAGTTGGCTAACAGGCAGCAGTAACCTCAGTTCTTTGTTTCTTCTGTTTTCCTCAAATATCTGGCAAAAGCATTAAAAATACCAGCTTAAGGAACTCACAGTATTAACATGAAGTGTAATTTACACAGAACAATGAACATACTTATAGTGAAAAAGCAGGACAGTAAGTAACATTGCAAGTTCTACTACCATGAACTTCAAAAATTAACTCTAAGTGTACAGACTAAATGTGTACTTTTCCCAGAAAACTCTCTTGTAAAAGCTAAAGCTAAGTTTCAAAGGTATTTTGGAGAAAACACCATTTAACATTTCCTCAAATACAGTATTTTCTCATTAAATGTCATTAATATTGTTAACTTCAACCCTGAAGAAAGGCAGAAGGTGCTTGAAATATGGCTGGTTTTGCAACATAACTTCTGCCTCCTTATGCATATGCATTCAGACTCAAGACCTACATTAATTTTTCACATGCACAGGATATGATGTGATCTGCAAACAAATCTGGGCCACAATATGAAATATTTAATGGTCTGAAGACTCCTGTAAGAATTATGGATCTTCACTGTTTTACTAGGAAATGAAACCAAAGATGTCACTAATTGTCATAAGAAATTGCAGGTCCTTTGTCTTCTCGGTCTTCTAATGTAAAAATGTCATGTTCTGTGCAAAATTACCGCACAATTACTACTGAAACTGGACTCACTGGGAACTGATACTTAAACAAATGAATGCTACAGTATTGACTGCTTTGGAAAAAACAGACCCCGTCTTTTTCAAACTAAGTATTCAAACAATTAGCAAAAACATTTTACTTTGTCCCTGCTTACTTTCCCCAATGGGGATAGTACCATGACTGCTATTTCACAGAGTGTTGTAAGAATGAATTAATGTTTTTAGAATACTCTAGTACTAATACAGTGATGAGTGCCATAGGACAGTCCATGAGGAAATTAATCATTCTGTCTTCAGATCAGAATTTGAATAGCGCGCAATAAATAAAGCCCAAGGCCAACACTTCACAATGAGGGCAATTCAAAATATCAAACATCCGGTCATGCAGTTAGCAGCATCCATCTCTTCTGTGCACTATATGAGGCAGTGGTCCTGTGGTAAGAGGCAGCATGCAATTATATCCTGACATCTAGACACTGAGATGTCGTAAAAACATGCAGACAACTTCATTTTCTAACTTCTGAACATTTGGCTCTGCAATTGGTTTGGTTTTTAGTTTTGGGTTTTGGTTGGTTTTTTTTTTTACTTAACAGATCAGAAGAGTATCCTAGGAGAGAACTGTCGTGAACAAAATCAATAAACACCAAGAACGAGTTTCTTAAATCCCTCAAAAACACTTTCCTGGTATAGATGAAAGAGGCAGAAAATATATGCAAAATGTGTTCCTTTCCATTATAAACTCCATTTATTAATTCAGGCGCAGTTTTGATCTGTGAGCAGCATCTAAGTTGCAACCTGAAAATCACTGCAGCTTAGGAAAAAGGAGATTTCTCAGCTGGTTTCAGCAGTCTTTCCCTTGCTCATCTTTTAACTTCTCTCCACTTGACTTCAGAAAAAGCAGCAAAACCAAGAGAAAACACCACACCCATCCACCAAGCCATAGAGATCCTTTAGATCTTTAACCATGGCACAGAAATCTTTTTTCCCATAAAAAGCCTACTCAGTCTGTACTGTATTAAACAGCTCTTTTAAGAGACCAAGTGATGAAGTGTGCCTCTGTTCAGGGACAGAGTTTTGCTCTGACAGAACAGCTGATACACTCTGGTACCCAAGTTTCAATTCCAGTGACTCCTGCCGGCTGAGGTCAAACTAAAGTTCAAGCAGAACCCACCACAACACCTGTAGCCTCACCGGCTACCATACAGCTTTGCAAAGTTTTATTAACTGCACTGATTTTTTTTTTTTGATGTAAGGGGACAAACCTCACTGAGTTGTTTGCCCCTGTGTCACAAGATCCATGGTGACCCATGTTAACACAGCTTTACAATACCCCTAATGTTATTACTTAACAGCTCTACAAAACGTATTGCGGAGCTTCGGCCATAGTATCTATTGATTTACATGACTGAAAAATTATTTCTATAGCTGACAGTTGTCAGACTGAAAAAAGTAGAAAAATAAGAAAATACTGCAGAGAACTTTGTGGGTAATTTAATATGAAACCATTCATACTTTTAAAGTATCAGTGTCTTGCACTGACTTACAAACCTCAAAAAGTTCATCATCAGCATTCAAATTTTGATGAGTATTTTACTTACCTGAGCTTTGATAAACTTCCTGATATTCCTATGAGTTCGGCAGCATTCAGTTAATAAACTGAGAACTGGAGTCAGACCTTCTCTATAGCTGCTTCCCTAAAATAAAACCAAATACAAACAAAACATTTTGAAGAGTAAATTTTCCTTTTCAAATCCTATGAGCCCTTCGCTAAAGTCCTATATGACAGCCAAAACATGAACTTTACATAGGTATAAATAAAGAGCCAAATGTTCATCCTCTCACACACAAGCAAGTATGCTTCGGACATTCACAGGAGTTTGTTCTCAACTTTGAGGTGTTGCACAATCTAGAAGCAAGGACATCCATATTTCTGCTAAATGCTGTCTGAAAGGATTGTAAGAAACTTTCCATATGTGCACTTTTTGCTTTAATGAAAGACGAAGACCCCTTTTGTCGAGAATCTTTACAGTCCATACCTTGTCTATTCTCTTCTCCATGAAATCCAGTAAAATTTGAATCGCTCCCATATTCATACCATTGTATTTTATATCTGTTTCCTCTTGGGATGATGGATTAATAAGAACATCCAAACAAGAAACGGGAACATTGCTTAAGAGGTTGATTGCATTGCTGAAACAGATTTTAAAAATTCATTATTCATTTGGAAGAAAGAATTAAAAACAGAGTACAACTCACCATAAACTGTTTGTACAACTGCAACCAAAAAGAGGCCCTGCAACTCAAACAATGCTTTGTTTTCTACTCTCTGGGTTTTAAAGAAGGTGGCATGCATTATCGCCCGAGTGCTGACTCTTGGAACAAACAAGGAAAAACAAAGACAAAAGATATACAGCAGCAGTGCATTATTATTTCCAGCCCCCACAGTATTCTATCCCATAGATGAGGCACAGCTTCCAGCAGTGTTACAGCAGCTTATCTTGTAGGACAGCAGGGGGAACTCTCACATTGATTTGCAGCAGCCAGGGTTTTTTCCTGCCTGAAACTTAAAACATTTTACAACACATCCATATTACCATCATTAACGTGATAAAGTACACCATAGAAAACATTTCCTCCTCCTATAACAGTGGGTCGTGGTGGCAATTTCTCAGGTCCTCTGAAATACTTCCACTTTCACTTAGCTTGTAGGGTATAGGAAATACAGAAGGTTTTTAACACATCAAAAAAAGATTCAGGTTTATTTACCAAGCGCTACCTTTCAGTAAGTGGCAGTCTTTGCATTCTACAAAGCACAAAGAGGAGTGCTTCCCAAATATCCATTAAGTGATTAGACCACAGGGTCCCTTCCCTCGTCTTTAACTGAGTAAGATGGAACTTACTTCGCAAGGGTCTCTTCTATGGTACACATCCCTTGATTTTGCGATCTATCCTGTTCTCATTATACAGACGACTTGCATTTGTACTGTTCCTGAATACAGGGCTAAATTACACACATGCTGCAGAAATTAGAGTTCTGTCATTATTTACTTGCTGATGCGCAACTACTACAGAACTATCCAGGCTTACATGTGCAGACCTCAAAGCTATCAACGAAACTATGAGCACTGATGTTTTAAGGATTGGTGAAGTATTCCAAGAATAGCGAAAACTTTTCAAACACCAACCTGGTCTAGTGGGAGGTGTCCCTGCCCATGGCAGGGGAGTGGAACTAGATGATCTTTAAGGTCCCTTCCAACCTAAACCATTCCATGATTCTATGAACTCCATTTAACACTTTGAATAATATTTACTCAGAAGCTGCCCTCGGTTTTTATGTTATTAATACAATTCTAACAAAGGTTTAGTACAACAAAAAGCAAATCACGGCAAGCAAATGTACGAGGTTTTCTAACAAATACACTAGTTTTGGTCTGATCAGACTTGGTGGCTGTTCCACATTGTGCCATCTCCCTTTTGCTCTGTTAGCAATTGAAATTCAGATAACTTCTACCTTTCAGAAAGCTTATTCTCTTTGTTTTGTTTCTAATTCCTGTTTAAGATATGTCTTTTATATCATGGAAGTTATTCCTCTCCGATAATTCAGGAATAGTCAGAAACAAACCAGACTGAAATTCAACAAATATTTGGTGGCTTCAGGCCTTTCATCAAAAGTTCTCTTTTTACCAGTTTCTTATTAAACAACCAAGTTCCCAAACACCTACAAAATTAATTTTCTGGATCACTGTGTCTGAGCTATTCTTTTCAATAAATGAAGCCCGGCTTTCTGATCTTTGTCACTCTACTGACAGTTTTATTTGTGGTAGAGGAGTGTATGAAATTCTCCAGCTACCAGGAAGTCAGTGACTATGCACAGATCTGCACAATAGTGTTTGCATTCCTACTCCAGGGGGTAGAAATACTGCGTATATTACTCTCCCCTTTTCGGCTTCCTAGAGATCATTAATCACTGGGACATGACATCCACCCACTCATGCTCCCAGCCCCCTCCTGATATGCAAATTCAGAAGCAAAGGCCTATTTAGAGCTGCTGAATGCCTTGATTAAAACCTTGTTAGTGGGCAAAAATGGCACTCACTCTAATATGTGGTGCTTTAAGCTGTTCATATTCAAACGTTAAGTAATGACACAACAGAACCACAATAATGACAACAATACCAGGTACTAAATTAGTTGAGATATTTTTATAGGTAACTTCTGCTTATTTATTAGAAATAGAGTCACACTGACAATCAGTACATCACAGCTCAGGGCACGTATCCAATACCTGATAATTGCATAAAATAAATCCTCAACTTAAACATTCAGAGCACAAGCATTCATTCATACAATGTGCTTTAACAGGCTGCCCAAACCCTTCATTTAAGCATCTTAACATGCTGCAGATTTACAAACTTACAGAAGCGTAAGTGATCAGCAGTTCTAAGAAATATACTTATGCCTCCCTGATGCTTGGTAAAGTTTATCCTGCATTCAGGACTGCTTACATTTTATTCCATTTTTAATGTTATTTTCATAATTGCCTTACTGATAGGCTCCAGGTGGAATGCAGAGTGAGAAGTTGCGCTCTGCTCTCTGACTCACACCTCATCTCTAGCAATAGAGATTGCACAGTCAGAGTCCAGCATACTGAACAGCCCAAAAGACAACACAGCCTAATTTTTTTAGCTATGCTATGTTAGCTATAGACTGCTAACACAACTTTACTCATTCATTATTGAAGCTCCTATCAGGAATGAAAGATTTGCTTGAGCAAATACACCAGGGGACTGAAGTGGGGCCCTTTGATCCAGGCCCCTGATCCTTCTGAGGATTTGCAGGGGCGTTAGTTCTGACTATACTTTTTCTATTCCAGAGTTGCTTTATGATGACTAGTCTTGGTTGAAAAGCGTATTAAATTATTCAGCTTTTATTGCATCCTGTAGCATTCAAAGACAAAACTCAGGCTCTGCAAACTGGCTGAAATACTTGAATCACAAAAGTCAAAACCTGTGCAGTGCTCTTCTAGCATGTTAAAAAACCCCTGAATACGACATGAATCAAGATCGAATACTACATGCAGCAATACTACACTTGCATTCTTTCTTCTATCAACTTGAGCTAAACAAACTTGCTACAGTTAGCTAACAGAGGGAGAAAGTTGCTTTCCCAGCATAACAGAAAGACTGAAGCAGTGCTATACTGAGTCTGATGGAGAAGGGGAAACAACTGCAGTGACACGAGGCAGTGCTAACCATCCTCATTTCTTTTCTGCTTCCCCCTCTCAGAATTAGGGAGAATCCTTGCCTTGACTTGGTGTGTCCATAAGGTCCACGTGGGCAGCATCTCTACACATAATGTTCATCTTAACTGAAAAAAGCACGGACAGAAATCACACCAATACTACACATTCTCCACTGCTGCCTACTTCTATATGTAAAGCCCTTTTTGGATGTCATCTGCAAGGGTTTGCAAAACCTAAAACCAGAAAGACCTGCAAAACATGCATCCTTTCGCAATAGCACAAGATAATTACATTTTACAGGGCAATATATTTTACAGGGTGATTAGACTAGTCAGATTCCCAGACAAGGGAACAGACCATGTTTTCACAGGAAGAGCATCAGCTGTATAATAATTCACCAGATATCAGGCAGTCTTGTTCAATGTGTACAAGCTTAAATGCTACAGGCTGATCTCTGTCTTCTTGTAGTTGTTGAATTTATCCAAATCTGTTCAATTTTCCCAGCAATAGGAAACTTATTCTCACCAGTCCCTTCCTCAAAGGAGGATGAGAGTGGAAAACACCCACCGTAAGCAGCAGCAAAGAGAAAATACCAACTGTCTTTTAGGACACACTCAGCATTAACTTCAGTCATGGCAACTACTGCAGTGGTATCCTAAATTATTCCAAACAAGTCTGCGCCAACTGAGAACGGCTCTGATGTAGGATTTTAGTGTTGACCTACTAAGACTGCTGATCTCTAAGAGATTTCCAAGATTTTCATTAAGTTAATTTAACACTTTCAAGTCTGCTGGGTGTTAAAAGCTATATCCTTCCTTGAGACTGCTGGTTCAGAAGATGATCTTCAAACGATCCTACCCTTAGATATACAGACATCTCAGATGAAGAAAATAGCAACACTAACTTTCATTGCTGAGAGAGAACGTGGGATAGCATTTGAGGCTACCGTACTGTTGGGCCCTGTGAACAGCTGACTTACTTGGATAAAAATAAGGATGTCATGGAAAAAAACTAGTAACACTGAACAGAGAACTACCACCTCAGTAAAAATACACTGAATTTTGATTGAATTATTGGCTGCAAATACATAATGAACAGCTGGGGGCAGGACTGAAGAAGAAAAAAAACCCAGCACACCTAAAAGTGCAAGATGATTGACTTGTCTTTGAAAAAAAAAAAGGGGGGGGGGCAAAATAGTCTTACCAGGGAATTGATATTTGTACTTTTAATAAAGTAGCCTAGAACCACTGGAGACAAAATATCAACTTGTTACTGCCATCCCAATCCATCAGAATCGCAAAAGTTACATACAAAAATCTCCAGATGCAGGTTTTGCATCAGCTTCTGTGCAAAACAATAAAAATTGCATTCCACTGTAATTTGCACTACCTCTAGAACTTCTATATATTTTCATCCTCAGTTACACAAGAAAACAGATTTCAAAAAGGTCAGCTTCACTGTTATTGATTAAAAATAACCACCTCACCAGTCACTTTTTCTCTGGAATAGTGGACATGTTTAAACAATATTTCAGGCAAACAGTTTTCATCAAAAAGCTTCATAATGTTTTAATCAAAACTACAGTTTTTATTGCTTCTCAGATTCCCACTTTAGGTTTTAGTTAAAGTAATTTTTTTCTATTTTTAAAAAGATAAATAATAGCCTTTTAAAATGGATTGGTTCTGAAATTCTACTGACCTGTGCAACTCTTCAGTTTTGTCTTCAGTAGGGCCCGTGGTTAATAAGCAGTGTCGAAGGATGGCAGCCATGTAACGAAATTGATGAGATTCATTCTATATAAATATAAATTATGAAGATATTTTTTCATTTTGAAGATTGCAAGTGGGGGTTTCAGGTCACTAGAATAATAAAAATTAAAGATGGAAAATACCTATTAGATCATAACACCCATCCCTAGCAATAAAAGGACTGTACTTTAGAGTTCACTAATTGCTTAATGCAACGTAGCTGCCATATGCTGGCCTTCTAAAAGGCATTGGGGACTTTTTTCCCCCGTCAAATGAGCCTCCACTACCAGAAAACCCCATTACAAGCATTTGCTCAATTCCATACCACTATTCCTAATATAACACTACTATCTTCCTTCCTGTATTTACAGCCGGCCGCCTCTTCATCCATTTATATTACATATGTTCTTCATTTCGTTTGCCGCCTCCTCGTTCAGACTTTTTGCTGCCAACAGTTTCATTCCCCCATCAAGTCTGTTTCCTTTCCTAATTCGTTTGCTTCTGTTCCCTTGATACCTTTTCACCATTTCCTTAATAACTTCTCTACTCTCAGCAACCTTATTTGCCCTACTTTTGCTCTCTCCAAGCAACTCCCCCTTCTGATCTCCCACCAGACAGCAGCCACACAAAAGTACACCAGTAATTGCAATCATTTAACTGTGTGTGTCATTGTCCTGGTCCTTTTTCATTAGCTCTTCTTGGCATCCATCATATGTTCTCGTGTGTTTGACCTAGCACAAAGCGCCCCAATGTATCTTTTGTAACATCAGCATCCAAATCTGCCAACCCTACCACCTGCAGCTCTTGTCTGGCTTTGCTACTTTGAAACCATCTCCAGTCATTAAATACTGGTGTATCAAATGGTTCTCTTCCCCTTAGGACGGATCTCATTTAGTTTTCTACCCACATGCCTAACCTCTCTGGTCTCCTTTTATTTTCCATTCCGCCTAGTGTTTGTAATCTCTTCAAATTCTGCATCTTCAGCCCAGTTAATTAACATGCTGTTTACTCTTCTAACTGATCATTAATATTTCCACAGGGATACTTGCGAAGCAGAATGCCACCTAACATACCTGGGTAACAGTTTACAACTACTAAAGAGCTCTTTAATTTAAGGGTTGCTTGCTTTTAGGAACTTTTATGAAGAGTTATTATATAAGCTTTATCTCAACACACAAAATAAGCTTCTCCCATCCCAGAATGTCTTAAACTCTCATCCAAATTGAAAACAAAAAAAAATAGAAAGGTACTAACACTACAAAATCTTCTGATCTGAAGAAAATTCTCCTGACAGCCGTGTGCTTGGGCTCTTCAGGAATGAAAAGTTCTGTGGGATGAAACCTCCCTCATTCCACAGACAGCAGCCAAATGAAACCCCATCAGGTCACGCCACAACTGTGTGCCAACTCCCACCTGCTTTTCTGCAGTAAACTGGGCTTTTAATTCCTCAAGATTCCCAGTATTGTGTAAGAGCACACCAACTTCAAGATCCAGATTTCAAGAGCTTACTTCTCAAGAGGTGAACATGTAATACAGCTTCATTTTCCAGCTTAACACCTGACATTATGTCCTCCACACAGAAGTACTTAATTGCAAAGATGATAGTTCTCAAACTCTGAAGTAGCAAACATTCACATAGCTGTGTTACGTACTTGACTTTGAATCCAGTTTCTCTACTCAAGTTCCTACCTCCACAACAATCACTTGTCTGTACAAAGAACTTTTTCTGACAAAGTTAAAGATATTTTTAATAAAGGATGAAGTCAGGTATATAAACAAGAGGAAAGCCCCTCACTTTCTTCACGTTTCCTTGTAAGTTAAGTATTAGCTTTTCTGATTTTTTCCCCTCATTCAACCTTAAATGTCAAGATTTCTTATTCAGAGTATCCTTGAGACATTAAAGAACAAGCTTCATACTTTCCTCAAGTTTTATATTCCTTAATGTTATAATTAATATCATATTTGCTATTTAGTCCAATGCACTAAAGAGAACAATTATTTATCAACTACTGTAAACTTCTACTTAGCTTTATAAACTGCATACTTACAATGCCCAGTCACAAGTTAACACTGTTTTAGAGACAATATGATCTGAACTAAAAGAAAAGATCCTCTATTTAATTCTATTACAGTAGCACACTTAGGTTATTCAACAAAAAAGTTATCTTATATTTTCTTTTTATAAATTTAGGGATGCAACACATAGGAAGAAAAAAAAAAAGTAGATCTGATGATGTAATGAAAAAAAAAACCCCAAGATAAATCTTATTCATAAGACATAACAATGAAAGTACGTTTGGTTCTTGTACTTGACTTCATCTTCAGAGGTAATGTTTAAGTCCAAACCTGGGGTTGGGAGGATGGGAGAGTAAGATATTAAAACCAGTACCACTCTTTCTTCAGACTTATTTGTTAAAAATTACAGTTGAAGTGCTTGTCATTATGCTCAGAAAAACAGAAGAAAACTAGGGAGACTATTCAGCTCTAATTATTACCCTATTGCCATAGTCCACAGTCTCCAGAGATGTAGCCATCCGACACATTAATATTAGAAGCCAGCTAATTATTAGTGAACAGCATTTATTTTCTTTTACAAATCTCAGATTTTTAGGAAATGGTTGTCTTGGCATTTTTAATCTGAAAACATACAGTTTTAATCTGCATTATATAATCCGAGCTATTCCCTCATTACACAGAAAATGAATTGATTAGATTTTTTTGCCTAAGTAGTAACAAGAACGAAAAAGTTATTTTGGTATTCAAAGCAATGAGCATTAAAGACTCAACACCTCTTGAAAGCCCAAGATCATCAATACATGACACAAGCAGAATTCAGACAGACCAATTTTCTCAGACTGATTTAGCATATAGAGAAATTATGATGCAAAATCTCGAACTACCTTAGCTGCTATTTTGAAAAATGCAATCATATTCCATCAAAATTACAGTAGCAAAAATGAAGAAGTAAAATCCTTGCTTTGGGCCTTGGGCAACAGCTGCCTCTTATGTATCTACCTGCTGGTTCTGGCTCTTGCAGGCTAAACAAAACCAATTTTAAAACCACTTCAACTAAACCTTACCTTGCTGTGGACATTCCAGCTGTCAAGCGTTACATTAAAAAGAGCCTTTAGTGCCTCAATGGCACAATCTGTCTCTTGCAAAGATAAAGGAGGCCTGTCACGATCTTCTGCTGCTTTATATTCTTCTGTCCACCTTACACTCAGGGAACTTTCCAAAGCCTGAGTCAAAACTTGCACCCCTTGTAGTTCCTGACGCAACTGCGATCTGATATCTGTGTGCAGAAGTGACAAGAGGAAGAGCAGACGCAAATCAAAGCATTTAATGTCACCAACAAACTGTTGGTCCTTGCATTTTTCCAGAAGATTGCAGAGCATAGCCGCAAGATTCAGTTCCAAACTGAGCTTCTGTGCAACAGCACTATTAAAAATAATGTTACAGAGGCATTTTAAAGCTTCTACTATAACAGGAAATTCAGATACTCTCTCCAAAGGATCTTCCTCAGTGTCCAGCTTTGCTAGCCTCATAAGGATCTGCATGTTCCTCTTCGTGGTTACAGGCACTAAAACCTTCTTGTCCCTGGAGAGAATCCGGAGGGCCTCCAGGCAGGCAACTTGACATGAAGTTTTTGTGTCTTTTTCAAGGATGTTTAGAATTCCCTCACATAGTTTCTATGTAAACACAAACAAAAAAGAAACAGTTTTAGCATCAGAATATTGGTGGTAACAGGAAACTACTTTTGCTAAGCTTCCATATAACTTTTGAGTTTTCAGCTGACTTGACTTGAGAAACTACGCATTCTGCATTAGCTCTTCAAAACAGAAACTATTGCAAAATACCTCCAGAGATCATCAAAAGCAGTTTTGCTCATGGATACAATCCAAGTACATCAACATTGGCAAAAGCATTAGGCCAAAATGGCAGATGCTATCCATCATTGCCAGTTACCAGGTTTTCTCAGTATCAGGACTGAAAACCTGAGTAGCCAGAGTAACAAGGCTAGAGAGAAGTTTTAAAAATATCTCAAAGTAGGACAGTCACACCTACAATACCTGCAAAATGATAAGCTGAGGTTGTTTCAGTCAGGAGGCTGGGAGAAAAGAAACCAAACCCAAGTAACTTCTGCTTGACATACAAGTATTAGTACTCCATGTTTGGTAACAGCTATAATTTGTGTTGCCACTTCAACCTAATCTACAGATTTCTCCCATCCCTAAGTAAGATTCTTAGAAATATTACCTCTGACATAGAAACATAATGCATGTTTATCGGAAGACTTAGGCTGTAGCAGGTTTACCAAACCAGCAAAACTGCTGCTTCGTCAACACAGATTGCTCTTGAAGCCAAAATACTTCACTGAGGCTTTATACCAACGTGACTGCAGGGGATGAACATTAATCATAAAAATGCAGCATGAGAAAATACAACACTCCAAGAATCTGCAGGTCAGAACAGTAACATCTGAATTACAGAAGAATTACCTTTTATGACAGAAACGGACAATCAGATGATCGATCAAAAGGGAGAAAAGACAGGACAGAAGAGATTGCTTGATGGGGGAGGATTCCATAGGGGTTTTTATGCCTTAAGCTCAGAACACTACTACTCATGAGTACCAGAGCCAGAAGTATAGTCACAAAGAATTTCCCAGATAAGTGGCACTACAAATTGTATTGTACCTCACAGGATACAGTTCCTTCCCCCCTTCTCACCCCACAAGCTTTGTGTCTAACAAATAGATTACCAAAAAAGCCAGAGTAGCAACTGAGTTGAATGGCGCTAGCGCAGAAGTCGACTTAGGACCTGAAATTCATATTGTAGTCTCAGGCAGTACATGTCAATAAGAAAGTGATTAAAAAAGCATAGGAATACTAGTAAAGTAAAACACAGTTCTTGGAGAACGGTCTCTGGAACTGCACTTTTCACTACCACCACAACAAAACGGCAGGGAGCACAGCAGCCCATCACCCCGACCCAAAGTTCAAAACAAAAGTTCTACTTGGGACATCCAAGCAAGTTTCGTTACTGTGATCACTTACACCGAAAGCCAAAATTTTAAAAAAAAGGTTAAGTCTAAAGCAAATCTAGAACAGACACTCCAGAAGAATAAGGGAGAAAAAACCCACAAGTCTTCAACAATGTTAAAAGACAATCTGTAAACAAAGTCAGACAGTAGGAACTCACAATATGATTTCTAGTATGCTTGTCCTGGGGTGAAGCCCACCCAAAACCACCACCCAGATGAGCAAGACCTTGACTACATCTCCACAGCCCTGACTAGATTAATCCAGTAAGTGTTTGAAATCAAGGAGTGAGCTCCACATCTTCCTATCACACAAGCAACACGAGAAATCTTCGTCAGGGTATTACAGACACTGCAACAGTATAAACCCCACATTTGACCACCTGTGCAGGTGTATACATACTTACCATGAGAATTTCATAGACAAGTACATAGAAAAAGATACTAGAGTACAAAGCTTTCAGAGTTCTTCAACATTAACTTAATGCTGCTTCCACAGAGGCGTACAACCCCCTGACTTGAGCACAGTATGTTAGCCCTGCACTAAATGTTTCTGAAGGTGGCATCTTTGAAGCATTTTTTAAAAAATGCCTAAGAAACCAAAAATTACCAGTCTAGATCCATAGTCAAATTACCTGGCAACAGCTCAACTTCTTACAATAATTTTGTTTCTATTGTTAAGAGAGTTTTCCATACAATTAACTTTGCTTTGCAAGCTGAAGCAACAGTTGTGAAGTCTGTTTGGTTTTGAGGATTAACGCAGAACTGAATGAAGAGTTCAGAGAACTCCAGGAAAAGGCCAGTTTATTCTGTTTCCTGTTTAAGTGCATTTCTATCAGACTTAGCAGTTGTTGACAGCAGCTGCTACAAGGTGGTCTGCAGCAATTTACCCAAATTCAACAGCTGGTTCACCAGCCGGACTCTCCTTCTCTTCAGAAACTGTAGAGCAGTACCATATTAACAACACAAGAAGCCAAGTTACCAGCCTTCCCCAAACCAAGATGCTGAATGAATGCTTCAGAGACATACTGGGCCAGACAGACTACCTTACAGTAAATAAATATAGCACAAAAACATATCTGACTTTTCATTAACAGTGATGAAGGTTTCTTCTAGGACTTTAAATACCAAGGATCACTTCACAAATTACCTGATCCAATCAATACCCACTGAAGTTAAGGAGAGTTTCCACTCATTTTTGTAAGCAGCAGAGCCCATACACATCTTGCATCTGGCGCTCTGGTCTTTAATTTCAGTCAGATAAAACCTGAACACTCATTTGACTACAGAGAGACCAATCCTCCCAAACTCAGACTGATTTTTTTTTTTTTTTTTTGAAGTTGTATCTACCTACTGCTACAGAAGCGTCACTGCAAAATGTCAGAAGCACTGCAGGAGAGATCCCAAAGGGCACCAAACTCCCACTGACATGGCACAGGAGGCGGAAGCCTAACCCTCCCTTCATACAATGGAAGACTATCCTTGCAATTTCATTAAAGATTATAAAAACCATCACCTCATGGCTTCAAATCTTAGTGAAATGCAACAATAGAAGATTTTTAACTCTGAATAGCTGTACTAAAGATAGATACTAAATAGAACACATGCATTTCTTTTCTGAGATTCAGCAACCTACTTACAACTTAAAAAAACCAACCCAGTGGTGCACTTTTAAGGTGCTTCATTTCCCACATGTTCCTGAAGCTGTGGCTGTATAAAAGATTTCACAATATAAGCCAGGCTAGAGTTTATTTTTAAAGCATTAATTATACAGTTTTATGCATACCATATTAACAACTAAGCCATCATACACGTAAAAACAAGTTACTAAGCTTCCTACCCATTACAGCAAAGTACATTTTTAAGACTCACATAAGTGAAAAACACGTAAGAACCGCTGACAAAGTTCCTTGGAGTTAGACTCTGGTAAGCCATCAAGAGTGATTTTAAAGGAAGCAGCATTCAGTTACAATACTGCCACCTGCAATACTACCAAAATCCGTGACAGTGAACCGCTGCTGCCTGATCTCAGGCGCCAACAGGAGCTTAGGAAAAAACAGAGCATCCAACTATATTTGAAGCTATCCATGGGAAGTTTTGAAGTGAGGAAACAAAACTCATCCTATTACAAAATTGCCTTGGAGACAGCTAAAACCAAACACCATTCTTTATTCTTGACAGCACGAGAGACAAGATGAGCAGAGAGAAGAGAAACAGGAAAGGCCGGGACCGCAAAAGCATAATCATCCTTCTCATTTTCTTTAGGTGGTGCTTTTTCTACCTCCCTGTAGGCCATTAGGATGGCATAAGCTAAGGGGCACAGATGTTATTTATTTGCTGGGAAATGAAAGCAAGCAAAAGAATTCAGACAGCAAGGTACCTCCCCTTTCATGTAATATATTATCACTGTCCTAACTTCAGGGTTTTATTGCTATCCCCTAAATTATTGTATGAATTTAACATTTCTTTTTTTGAGTTCTATCCCTTCAACATTCAGAAGGGAGTTTGTCTTTCATTAGTCATGCTACGAAAGTGCTTTTCCTACACTTCTCTTCCACAGAATTGAGGCAGTTTCTAGTGTTTTTAAACTTTTTTAATTGTAAAATACATTTGCTTGTCCAAAACTCAAGAATTCTCAGCTTTTGTGCTAACAGCAAGGTTAAGAAAGAACAACGTACATCATGCCTTTTGTCTATGCTGTAGCGTGAGTAATGTGAAGACATTCTAAAAGTTTATTGCATGTTAAAACAGCAAGCCCAGAAACACCTATTTATCATCTCATTTTGACAAGTAAAGTATTCATCCATTTTGGGCCCTCATCCTGATAGCGCTCGATACTAAGCAGCGGCACAGTCCTATAGAAGAAGAAATATCCTGAGATACAAGAGACCTGCATTTTCTTCCTTGCTCAGCCACAGACCTATTGTGTGGCTCTGGGCAAAAAGCTATGATCTCTTTACTTCCATTTTCTTTTGCCATCTTTGTTTATAGGATAATTAGACTGAGGTGGGGGAAGATGAGGGGAGCACTGTAAGTGCCTATATTTGCCAGGCTCAACCTCAGCTGGGGATGCTAGGTACTTGTGAAAAATAGGACCAAAGAGCAAGATCATGAAGTACCCTTCGGTGCCCGCGTGTGAGGTCCTTTTCCACCTCCTCTCTTTGTGTTTGAAGATGTTTAGAAAGCACACTTGACCTATATTCACTTTTTTAAAATACAAAGACCACTAAACTTTGGGTACATTATGTCAGTTGAGTTTACTGTAGCTTCTCAACACCAGAGTAATAAATGTCTTGGTGAGAAAAGGAGACAGTTTCCCTTCATTTGCTTCTTCCCCTTTGGCAAATCATTCTCTTTACTTATACAGGCCTTCAGATTAGAGCAGGAACAAGAGAATATAGTCTCCATTCTGCAAGTATTCAAATCCAAGCAAACAACACTGCTTTATTGATACATAGCGTTTAATTTAGACACAGATTATTCAGTGATAGAGAAGTTGCAATTCAAAGGTGAACAACAAAAGTTCTGCTAAACATTACAGAAATAAAGCACATACCTTATCTCTCCTTTTCTGCACCTTTAGTTTTGAATTATGCCACAGATATTGAATTATGCCATCTGTGTAAGTACCAGGACAGGTACACTTCT